CCTAATTTATTTTGTAAATTTGTACCAAAAAAAAAAAAAAAAAAAGCCTAAAATGTTTCAGTGGTTCCTTGTAAGATGATATATTTTTGTCTCCAAAGCCCCAGTTGGCTTTGTTTTGCTGCTGTGGCTGCGCAGCGTTTGGACTCCCTACCTCTTCTCTCAGGGAGTCTGAAGGTCCAACCAGGACCAAGAAAATGAGCTTTGATGGTTTATTTCTTTCTTAATTTAACGAGCTACTCAAGTTTCAGTGATTCTAGCTGTAATTTATTGATAGCCAGAGCTGCAACAGGACCCGGCTCAGTCTGCTGCGTTTAGTTTAATCATCTCCAGCGACTAGAGGTCCTATTTTCAGACAGTATACATCCCAGGAATGTAGGGTTTTTTTTTTTTAACACTTTTTATTTATTTATCTGAAGCTTAATGTTCTCAGCACATGCATGACCAAGCTTTAATCCTAAACCTGAGGCACAGCCGCCTCATCCTCCACTACTTCCACTCACTCTGCTAGGTTTCAGCAACTCTTGTCACGTTTTGAATTTCAGACACTTTACTGAGAATTTCAGCACTTTTAAAAATAAAGAAAAGTTGTTTACATCATTAGAGGCTTCAATAAGCAGGCGGTACAGATGTGTTGTGTTTGTACAGCGAGGTTAAACACTGATCATTCAGCTACTGTGTTAGCTATGTGAGGGAGGGGAGGAGTTGGACTAAAACTAACGGGCACAGAGTTTAACTCAAATATTGTATTTGTTTCTTTGCTACGGTTGCTGTGTTTTTTATTAATAACATGCACTGAATAAACAGTCTAAACCAATTTAAATTCAAACACAAAGTGTCATTTTCTTTTTCTGTTCTTTAAAACCGTAAAAGTCAAACTGGATAGAAACCGTCTGACATCAATTTTTAAACCTTTACGACTGATTTTCAACTGTATTTAGGTCTGGACTTTGATTAGGCCATTCTGACTCACTAATGTAATTTGAGCTAAGCTAAGCTATCATCTTATCAGAGCTTGCCAGTGTTAAAGGAAAACACTTTTTAAACTTGTAGTTAAGAAAAAGTGTAAATTAACTTAAATCATTAAAAATAAGTAAAAAAAATTGAAGTCGTCATTGTAGAACACAAAGTTTCTAACTCATTCAGAAAGAAAGTTGAAAACATTTAAACTATTTGAACAAGAGGAGCAGAGCTGAAACAATGCAAGTCTCCACAGGATTTCAGTGTGGACTTTGATTAGGCCATTCCAATACATTTGATCTATACAACTCTATTTGCTCACAATCACTGACATTCAGTTAAACTCTGACCTGCTTCCTTGTTTCAGCTCAAGAAGCACATCCGCATGACATGATGCTGCCATCACCGTGCTGCACTGCGTGGTTTGTGATGTGCAGTGTTACGTTTTCACCACCCAGTTTTTTAATCAAACTTGAGCTCCTTCTTCCACATGTTTACTGGGTCTTCTGCATTGTAACAAACTTCAAAAGAGCCGATTCTCTGATTAATGTTCAGTTTATCAGATCTGGTGGTTTAAGTGGGCGGCCATTTCCTGGTAGGTTTGCACACCCTTTACTTGTGACTTGTTTTTTCTAAAAGTGGCAGCTTGTCATTGCAGACCACAATTCTGACTTCTCAGGCATTTCGTTAGAGTTGATCAGAAGCTGTAAAGCACGTGACCAACCCAACTCTTCTTCTTTTTTAGACAACCAGAGTCTGAACTTCCCTCTGTGTTTGAGGGAGCTGAGTCAGACGGTGTCATCTGTTCTGCAAAGGCTTTACAGATTGTCGATGTGTCAGCGCAGCTCCAGACAGATGGACAGAATAAATATCAAATCTGTGAAATGCTCCAACAGAGGCTGCTGCTGAAGTCACACATCTTTCCAGAAGAAAAAAAAAAAATAGTTGGATGATTCACTCACTGCTGTCCCTGTCCTCGTAAAATTAATTAGATTTGCTGTAAATGTTTAAATGAAGCGGGGAATTATTTAAAGCAACATCCTGATGATCTCTGAACCTTCAGAAAGTCCTGAAGGGAACCACAGAGTCGGATCGGGCCTCGGTGAGCGGCTGAGATCTTTAAAGCAAGGAGGAAAAGGGGCAGAAAGCCGTACCATGTCTTTACTTCGGTTCTGACTTCCTGTTTCATACCAACCTTCATCATCCCAGGAGGTAACTTTTATTTTGCTTCTAATTTGTAGTAGGCATATTTGAGAACATTTCTGAACCGATTCTACTGAGTTTATGTGATTCAAGTACAACGAAGCTGAGATTTAAGACTTGGAAGCCTCTGATTTATTTTTTTTCTTCTTCTTCGGCAGACTATTGACATGTTCTCATTTGTCATGACCTTATATCCTCTTATCTCCAGTTGAAAATAAGTTGTAAAAAAAGTGTTGAAATAGTCAACAAGTGTTTCCAAATACATGAACAAATGAGGAGAGACTGAAAGCATCTGAACTGAGAAGTTAGTTTCCAACAACGCAAATCAGCAACATCTGAAGGCCTTGAGTCAAAGTAAACAAAGTCACCCTGCTGCTCTGATCAAACTTTGGTATTCTGTCTTTCCTCAGTTTCCCCTCCAGGAAACGCAGCTAAGAGGCATTTCTTCACATCGTTCTGCTGAAGTCTGTGGCACAAAACCAGATAACAAATCTAAATCTCTTCAGTAGCAGAGTGATTAGTTTCATTTGCTCTTAGAGGACTGGCGCTTCCTGTTTGCTTTCACTTAATGGTGGTGCCGAGCTGGAGCGGTGTAAATGTGTCATGCATGCATCCACCAGATGCTGCCTGAAAATAAATGCACAAGCATCGACACGTTTTGCAGGCCACAGCGCTAAAAGCTGTTGTCTAATATGTCTTCCTGATGGCTCTCGTTGGACCCAAATCCTTTGAGATGAATAATTCAAAAGGAGTTTGAATAATCCACTCTGCATCAAACACTCAGTCTGCGGCCCGGCTTCCTCTCTCTCTTCCCCCCTTTCACACTGGACCTTTATGTTTATTAATAGGCCGGAGAACAGTCCCATCAGACTTCTCGGGTTTCAGCGCAGGCTCATCTCTCATGCGGCCGCTCGTTTCTCACTGTGGCGGAGATGAGAGGTTTGTCTAGTCAACATGCAAAAATGGCTTACAGCGGCGGCCATGTTTCACACCGTCTGACCATGTAATTCTCAGGTTTTATTACGGCACTCTTTCAGTCACAAGCTAACTAAAGAATAGCTGCTCAAAGGAGCGCCTGATTAACACTCCAACAATATCCTGACAGAACACTGAATAAGGGAGGAAATTATGAGAGAAACGAGACCGGGGTCAAAGTGTTAATCCAGAAATTTAAAGGGGCAAGTTGTTGTTTATTAAATAAAAATGGCCAAGCATGGGTCATTCCTGCAGAGAACTGAAACTTGGAAAAATGAGCCAAATACAAGGCTTTGGGAACTAATAAAGCAGGTAAATATTATGCTTACAAAAAGTCAAATATCCAGAAAGAATCAGGAAAAATGTGTGGCTGCAGAGTACTTGGCTGGAAAACCATTTATTTAAACACCAGTTGGACTTTATGTATGTATTTCAGCTCACATCTGTAACAGTGTGCACCCAATTGTTGTTTTTCGGGTTTGGCGACCTTTATTCTGTCGGTTGCCAGAGACAACAGGTCACAGAGAGAGAACAGGAAGACGTACAGCGGACAGCCTGAGATGATCATCACAACCTGGAAGAGTAAAACGAATCATTAAAACCGAATGTTTAATCTGACATTCCTGCTGTTAATGACTACACGTTTCTGACTGGAGCTGCAGATTCTGGCATAAGTGGGAGGGGGGGAAAGAGTTGGCAGAGATGAACTGCGATAATTGGGAAAAATAAATGCAAAGTTTGTGGTGCGTTTGCGCAGGAGAAATCAACACACTCCTCAAGTTCTTCTGTAAACCTTTTCACCTTTATTTTCTACATTTGGATCAGCTCAGTGTGGAAGCCTGGACATGTCAGTTGTTTTTAACCCCGCTCTCTCTTCCCTGCCCCCCGCCCTCCCCGACATGGGAACAAATGATACACTCCCTCGGTCTCACTATCAAAAACATCATCACAGTCACTCGCTCAGATATCAAAGTCCAGTCGATGGCCTTCTCTCTCTCTCTCTCTGTTGTGTAAACCCTTCCTCCACTGGAGGAAGCTGAAATGTTTCAAACCTTTACAAAACGACTCCAGCTCTGACGTACAGCAGCAGGAGTGACAACACAACAAAAACAACAACAACAACAACAAAAAAAAAACACAGTATGATGGTTGAAATGATAATGATATGGTTCAGTTGTCTGAAATATCAATGTAGAAATACTGCCGGTAAACTTGCAAAAGAAAGAAAATAAAGACATGATTATGAATTCAGGTATATTGTCTGCTCCTTCTCACCGCTTAATTTTCCTAAAACACCAAATAAACGCTGCTGACGTATCCTAACGGCAGCTGCAGAAACGAATGCGCGGACACGAGACGTGCTGATCCTCGCTCAGCTGTATGGGTTCTTCCAAAAACAAAAACAAAAATCACGTTTGACCTAGTAAACATGGAGCTGACAAACCGGGAGAAGAGCTGAAGAGAAGCACATTCACACCTGCACAGATGCATCCAACACACTCCACGGCAGAACAGAGGTTCTCGGAGTGTATTTTCTGAAAAAGGTCAATGGGGCGAAAAGCGTTTGCGTCTCAGCAAACGAGATTCACCAATAAATAGTCGATTTTATTTCAGTAACTCAAACTTTGTTACACACAGTGATTCTTACTTTTTATTTTAACGATTACGGCGTTCAGCTAATGAAACCCCCCCAAAAAAATTCAGTTTCCCAAAAGATGTAAATATTACGTCAAACCAACAACAACAACAACAACAACAACAACAACACAGGGAAGAGCGCTGACTGGATTGTTGTCTAGCAGAGCGACGTTGACAGCCTCCATGTGGATAAGCCACAAAAGCTCATTACTACAAACAAGCTCGCTGTTCAGAGATATGTATCCAAGCATATCAATGGGAAAGTTTAGTGGAAGGAAAAAAGTGTCAGAAAGACGAGGATAATCTCTGAGGTGCCCTCTTCTCAGATTAAATAAAAGTTTGGATTTCATTTAGGAATCAGGTTCCCGGAGTGATGAGAATAAAAGTTGCTCATAGTCCAGTGGAAAGTCTCCACAATCAGCAGTGATTTGGGAATCTACTGTCATGTGCTGGTGTTAGTCCATTACAACAAGTCTAAAGTCAGCACAGCTGTCTCTTAGAGACCATCATGCTTCCCATTGAAAAGCTTTACTTCATTTACCAGCAGGACATGGTCAAAAGCAATCTGTGGAGAGTTAGTAAGAGGATGAGAAACACCAACGTAGGAGAGATGAGAGCTGCCAGCCTGTTGCAGCCTCCGTGCTACGCTGCATCAATGCATGATTTTCAATAAGCAAACGTTCTGCTGCAAAAATCTGCTTTTTTTTGGTTCAACATAATATTTTAATTTCCAGAGACTTTGGGGTTTTATTAGCTGTAAGCCTGAAGTATCAAAAGTAATATTTGATTTAAATCAACATGGTAAGACAGAGTTTGTTTCGTTTTTAAAACTGAATTAGTAAAATATGTTTGATGATATTCTTATTTACTGCAATGCACCTGTACGAACTGCCCTTTGGAGAGAGCGTGTGGCGTTGTAGTGTTTCGTAGGAGAGTTTCAGATGGTTAAACACTACGGTAGGCAGAAGGTATCATATAAATATAAAGTAGCTTGTTGATGTGATTTTTTTTTTTTTTTTTTGCGAGAGCATTGGCTGTACGTTGAACATCCTTAAAACTAAAAGTTACTGAAACGGTAGAAACAGACAAGGCATGTAAAAACCGGACATAGAAATCTGAAGATATCACAAACATATTTCTATATCTCTACATTTCTGCTGTTGGCAGACGTCGAGTTGAGTTTTCTCTCTCTTTTTTTCTTTTTCTTTTGTTCATATTACGTTCCCTCCCTCGGAAAATCCTCAGCTTGGATGCTTCAGTCTGTAAGATGAGATACCGAGACGTAACACCAGAGGGGGACATACACTGCTGCAAGACTGCAGGGAGGGGCTTTGACACGTCCACACACACAAGACGTAATCTCTCTCTCTCTCTCTCTCTCACGCACACACACACGCAGTCAAACATGCATCCTTCTTCATAAGAGTTCACGTTCAATGTCAGTTATAAAATTAAATAAAAAAACAAACAAACAAACAAACAGGAACTTAAGGAAAACAAAAATCAAATGTTCAGGCCCCCCCTTCTAAAAGCATACATTCATCTCGGGTCAAACAGACAGATAAGTGCACGCACACACACACACACACACACACACAGATCGCAGGCAGTCAGTAAACGTTAAGTGATGAGCTGAGGGGAAGCTGTGTGCAGAACCTCGACTCCACGGTTCTAGAGCCAGTCACTCTTAAAATCTCTTCTTTAAAAAAACAAAACAAAACAAATGTAAAACAACAGATATGGTCTCTTAGAGGGAGTCTCTACAGTCCTCTCTGTTCACTCTGAGGAAGCTTGTAGACTCTACGTCCTCTGGTCTCTGGCAGAGGTAGTACCGTCCCATCCGTCCTCCTGAATCCCCTCCGGGGAAGTCTCTGTCCTCGTGCCCAAGTTGAATAAAACATGCCCGCTCGTCTGACCGCTCGCTCTGGGCCGCTGTGTGTGTGTGTGGGAGTGTACGCTTGGGAGTGTGCGGAGTGCGGTCAGAAGACCTCGGGTAGTGTGACGTTGCGCAGCAGCCACTGTTGGGAGCGCGAGTGTGTGCAGTCTCTGACACTGGGCACCTGGCTGTCCTCCTCGCTGGCCTTGTCCAGGCACTGGTTGCTGTTGACGTGGACCAGAGTCAGCTTCTGCACAGACAGAGGAACACATGTGATCCAGTTACAGAATACATTTTTATTTTTAAAAATTAGTGACGCAAACAATTAATTGACTTGTGACTGATGGTGGATTAATGGTTTATTAGGTTAAAGTTTGTTCCAGTCGATTAACTAATAACATCCGCTTAGACCTCGTTTTAGTATTGCAGTTTGGCTGCCATCCAGAAGGGGCGCTGCAGGTGATCCTCAACCAGAGCTATTGATACGGAAATAAAGATGGCGGAGCCATTACCAGAACGGTAAAGAGAAATGGTCCAGAGTTCAGTGAGGGACACAAAACGACCTCTATGGGATTCTGAAATATGAATACTCACCAAACTCCTTAGAGTGAAAATATCCCTCAAATAAACTGTGTAAACAGGTTATTTCAGGTTCTATCTTTATGTTTCTGTGTGAATCTTCGTGCAATTAGTTCAGTTCAGCATTGCAAAGAAGCAATTAAGCGCTTCTTTTGCTCTGATTCCCCCTTGATGGAAAAAACATGATGCTAATAAACAGGACTGATTTTGATGGCGAGTTAATGAGAACTTGCAGGGAAGAACAAACACAGGCTGTACTTCTGCATGGGCGTCTCTGTTAATGGGGAATTAAGTGTTTCACAAGTTTTATTCTTTTCATCTTTTATTTTTATGCTCAGCAACATACGAGGCTCATGTTTGTTAAATGAGCCATATTTTATCAATGTCTAAATTTAATTTTGAAAAAACAAAAAACTATTTTGGGTTTATTCCGTCAGTATTTAATACAGCTGACAAAATGGTAAAATTTCATTATGTTTTTTTTCCCCCCCAATTCAGCGTATTAAGATGATCGACTCATTTGATACAAGAAAACGCTAAGAAAACTGACACGCTAGTCAATCAATAACATCTACCAGCTTTAGATTGATTGTTTTTGTTAATCAAAAACTTGCATCCTGAGTTTGAATCCGCAAAATTAAGTGCATAAATCTTAATCTGAATGTTGCACAGCATCCAGATTCCAGTCTCTCAGTCAAGTTGAGCAACGTGTCAGAAATCCCTCCCCACTCACCACAGGATCGTATTCCCACAGCTGGTTGCCTTTAAGGTGATGACACTTGAGCATCATGACGGGTCCGTTCAGCTTGGAGACGTCTAAACACAAGTCATCTGTCCGGATCTCCTTGTTGGCTGTGTAGGAGAAAACCTGCGGGTCACACAAACACACACACACACACACACCGGTGTTTTAAGGAGCTTATTTTAAGCTCATTTACGGGTTCAGCACCGCAGTTTGAGCTCATTGGGTTAAACAGGGAACATCAGGTTTGCTGTGACATCATGCAAGCATCTGTCTGATTTTAGCTTTAGTTTCATTGATGTTTCACTCCTAACGGCTCTCGGCTCAGAATGTCCTGAAGAAGCAATGTCTGCTCCATAAATCACGCTGGTGTTTTATAGAGCAAGAGTCACAAATAAAGCCTAGCAAAAGCCTTCATACCTGTTGAACGTGTTCACGTCAACGACCAGTAACAGCGGTCAGTCTGCTTTGAGTCATTGTCCATTTGAACGAGCCCAAGCTTTAACGTCCTGCCTGATGTTGCTCCAGTATTTACAAATTATGTTCTTTCCTCATTATGCCATCTATTTTATAAAAGGCACCAGTTCGTTCGGTTGGAAAACAGCCCCACAACATGATACCGTCACCACCGTACTTCACAGATGGGACGGCGTTTCCAGGCTTGCATCAGAGCCTCATGTCTCCACCGTGTCTCTACAAAGATGAAAGTCTTTGTTTCTGTGTGCATTTGCAAACTGCAATCTATCTTTTTATTGTTTCTTTTGGAGTAATGGCTTCTACCTCGTTGAGTTCCCTTTCAGTGCCTGTCGGTACAGGACATACTTCACTGTGGTTAATGACACTGCCTCACCAGTTCCAGCAGCGTCTTCACAACGTCTTTGGCTTTTCTTCTGGGATTGATTTGCACGTTTTGGACCAAAACACATTAATCTCTGGGACACAGAACCTGTCTCCTTCCTAACTTGAATGATGGTTGGACATTCCCTATTGTGTTTATAGCTACATACTGTATGATTCTTTGGAAAGGTTAACGCAGCACCTTAAAGTATCTTTAAGTATTTTACTGAGGCTGAACTGGACTTGTGAAGCTCCACAATTCTCTTCCTGATATCTTGGCTGATATTTTCCGACTTTCCCACGATGTTACACGAGGAAGCAGTGTGTACAACATACGGCTGTTTATGTCAAATACATAAACAGATGTGTCTCCAATTAATTAAAATGTGTCAGTTAACCAATCAGAAGTTTCCAAAGACATGACATCATCATCTAGACTTTCCCTCATTGTTTAATGGGACAGCAATTATTCTGAACGTAAACTTCTGATTTTTCAAGACATTAAAAGATAAACCACAGACATATACTCTCATTGCTGTGGCATTTAGCAAATAGAAATTATTTTAACAATTCTAACTAACCTAAAACAACAGAGGTTTGGTCTGATTTAACATCAGACAATGAGGAAAAAAATTGTGTTTGTATCTTTCTTTTGGCTGTATGTAAACTTCTGGTTTCAACTGCACCTCACAGACAAACACAAAGTTCATTGTCATGAAGCGAAAGCTAAAGAACATGGAGTCGGTACTTAGCAGAACCACCCGTTGCCACAATTACAGCTGCAAGATGCTGCAGGATGTTCAGTCTGGTAATTATGTTGTTAATAATCGCTGCAAAATGTTTCTGGTTTCCATAATAAACCTTGTACACATTTATTTTCAGGACATTTTATTTATTTTTTTGCTGCAGCAGGAACGGCTTAACTCACCTGGTTGCCTCCCATGCCGTGGCAGTTGAAAATGCCAACCTTCTCATTTTCCTTGCGGGCCATGTTGTCCAGGCACTGGTTGGTCTCCACGTTACGGATCTGAGGCAAACCCACACAGATCAAAGTGAGGATCGCTTACTAAAGCAGTGTGGACAGTGGCGCGGTCTGTGTGTGTGTGTGTGTGTGTGCGCGTGCGTCGGTGAGCGTACCTCTCCCAGCGAGTAATAGTGCCGGGGGATCTGGGAGTCAGGGTAGACGTTCTCCAAATACCAGCTGAAGGGTTTACACTGGAGCTTTTGTCTCAGAGCAGAGCGAGTTGAGATGTCACCGTAGTCCACCTTGGTCACGCCTGGAGACGCAAACACAGACACCCATGCATTAACGTGGAAAACTGCCTGAAGGCGGCCATGACTCCTGAAATGTTACTTTGCATGAAAAGTTTTGCTTGTAAACAAAAACACATGATGTGTTCCTAATAAATCTCGTCAGCCAAGCACAGCAGACTAATTAAATACAGTCATGAATTATGCTAACTAACTCCATAGACAGAGCCCACAATCCCCACCGTGAAGCATGGTGGTGACAGCATCATGTACCATGAAGCTAAAGATGGATGTGGCTAAATGCAGAGCTACAGAACTTAAGACTGGACATTGATCAAAAATATACACCCGAAGCGGCATGGAATGGTTTATATCAAATCACATTCATGTGTTACTGAACGGTCCAGTCAAAGTCCAGACCTAAATCCAGTTGAGAATCCGAAGAAAAGCTTTCAATTAATGTTCGAAGACGCTCCCCATTAAATCTGACTCAGTTTGCGCTATTAGGCATGAGGAAGTGACAAAAACGTCAGACTCCACATCTGCACAGCTGGTAGAAACATTCTCCTAAAAACTTGCAGAAAAAGCAAGTTTGAAAAGAACTGAATTAGTAGGCAGATTAAAAATGCATGATGCGCTTTTTCGATTTCACCGTCTTAGTTTTTTTTTTATTTTTTAACCCAGATAATTCTTCTCTTCCCTTCATGTCACATTTATGCACAATGTTGTGTTATTTATTCCATTAAAACCCAAAGAAACTCAAGCGGGTTTGTGGCTGTGACAAATGTGAATACTGTGATTTAACCATTAGGAGGCATTCAGCAAAAGTCCTGTGTGTTTAAGCGAGAAAGTAAGTAATCAAAATAATGAGAAACCTTATTACCGTGCTTCTTATGTTTAATGTCACGTCGAAAGCAACAACATTCAACAAACACCTGGTTTCCAGCATTTCTGCTTTTTATGACTTTATTTGGACGAGCGAGAGGGACGGGAGTCCTGGAGCCTCCGGCGAGGTGTAATCCATGAGGTCAGAGTTTTCTTTATTCTGTCATGTTTCCATGACAGCATGGATTAGTCTGACAGACCTGCCATGTTTGCGTAAGAAAACATAAGCAACAGAAAAAAAGAAATACAGAAGTGCGTTCGCGGAGGGTGTAAGAGTGGAGATGTAATAAAAAGCAGTGCATCTGGAGCACCTCGAGCCGCCTCAGACTTACAGAGGAAGGCCTTCTTCATTAAGTCTTCACAGCACTAATCTTTTGGCAAATGTCTGCTTTCCACTAAGGTGAGTGCAAGCGGTTCAGAAATCATGCCACGATGAAACTATGCAAATATCAGACGACCTGGTGAGAACACGCTTCCCTTCAAGTGATTGGCTGCGTTCCTTTCTGCAGGTCTCTCCGTCAGTCAGGCGGCTGGACGAGCCTAAGCTCCCGTCCATCCCTCGGGATTTCAGGACCGTCTTAACTTCGGCTCCTCCCTTCCACATTTCCCTCCTGTCTCGCTTGTTAAAGATACTGGTACATTAATCAGTGATAAAATATTAACAGTCCAATGAGCCTTTTCACTGCTGACCGTAAAGCTGTCGGCTGACCGCAGGGCCAGCTTCCTGTGGTTACCGGCAGCATTCCATGCTAGCTGACGCTGGAAATCCAACCTCGGGTTTGTTTCCCAGCCGCCGTGCCAATCAGGAAGAGGAAATGTTTTTTGTTTCTGTTTGCACATCTGTGCGTGTGTGTGTGTGTAAGAGTGTGTGTGTGTGTGTGTGTTTGGTAAGTTTTTAACCGAGTGCATTTAACAAAAATGCGATCAAAGACTCATGTGTGTCACTAGTTGTTATTTTAATGAGCCTGGCTCTCCACAGATGGCATCACGTAGTTCAGAGCTAAAACCTGGAGAGCTACCAGGCTGCTGGGCCGGTTCAAAGGTCTGAGCCAACGGCGATGATGTAATGTTCTTGCTTTGCATTAAACTGGATTTTTTAGACATAAAACACTAAAAAACAAACAAAAAAAAACATCTCCTTAAAACACAATCTGAAATAAATCTAATAGCCTCTGTAGTAGAGGTGGGTAAGAAGTAAATTATTGCCAACAATATTGTATTATTATAATCCCTTATAATAAAAATAAACTCTGATAAACCGACTATATTGTTGGGAGGGTTCAAATAATTCTTGCACTGTTGGTTGCACAGTCAACGTAGCATCACTAGCACTGCGTTTGTGTTTAAAAACAATTATTGTGCTCCTTTCAGGTAGCACTACTTTAAGCAGTCGGTGCAGAGAAGCAACCTATTTGACCGTTCGTCGGGTCAAGCAGCCCATTTTGTTCATCCACTCTGAAGAGTTAACAAAGATGAGTATCTTTTAGTGCTTTGGTCAGAATGCAGTAAATTTAGAGAGGAAAAAACTACTGAAGACTGTAAAACTCAACTTTATTGTGATGAGGCTTAAATATTGCCATACGATAATATTCTATAGGTATGCATTTGTTTTATTCCAATGATTTCTTTTTTGTCTTTGAAAACCTATTGAATCTAGTGAGAAATGACTTTGTGTCTCGAGAACAGCTCAAAGCAAATATCAGGCTGTTATTGGTTTGCTTCGAAAACAAATTGAATTTTCCATAAGAACAACTTATAAAATAAAAATAATTTGTATGTCATATGGAAACATTAAATGTCTTCACAGTCTGTAGCACAAGTGGATTATCTGTAGCTGAGCAACTGACTACATAATCTCTTGGTTGAATACTTTGAATTGATTATCAGTGCCTCCGTCTGATCAGAAGGATCAGCTTAACGTCCTAATCAAGCGTTTCTGACCACATTTAGCTCTCAGTATCTGTGCTGATCCGTCTGTTTTTGGATCTGTGTCGTATCCACCCAACGCCGCTGTTGGAACTGCTTGTGATGGAGAACAACTACTAGTGCTGCCAACCTCCCCATGGACTGAAACCATTTTAAAACAGAAATTGAAAGCACTAACAAACCTAACAGTTCCTCTATTTCTCAAGGTCAGAGTTCGCATTTTTCATATCAAAATTTCACACTTCCAGTCACCTTTTTAGACTCGTATTTTCTCAGGTCTCAATCCACTTTTAACAAAATTTTGCAAAGCATGTGAAGGACGTCTGGTAGGTATTTCTACAGTGGACAGGCTATAAATATGTAATAAGAACCACGGACAGGAAGGAAGACAGGAAAGAAAGACAGGATGGATGGAAAAACAGATTCATGAACGGCTCGACAAAACTGTTAGCGGGTAGGATTGGGAATCAAATGTGAAAATATTAATTTTTCCAAACTTTTTCTTTTCCCAAATATATCCCCAGCTGGAAAATCAAAGGTCGTAGAAACCCAGAAAGGAATACGAAAACATGGCAACAAGTTTACTCGGCTAACGCTTCTGGTGTTGGAGCCACAGAGAAGAAGACGGATGGTGAAGGACTTCAAGGTTGTATGGATTTTAATAACTTCTGTGCACGTTTCTGACTGAGTCTTGCGCGGTAAATATTTCATTTTAAACGACTAGAATCAGAATCAGAGACAAGAACTTTTGATCAGGTCATCCTGGCCACAACATATTATATATACCATTATAGAACCAGTAGTATACCAGAGAACCAGTCTAAAAATGACAAAACACAGTTTTCTGTCAGTTTACTTTTGGGCTGCCTCCCCATTTTCTGTGTGTGTGTTTGTGTGTGTTCAGGTAAATAGATCCTCTGTAGCATGAAATTACTTGCCGCCACACATCTTGCACGCCTCCCCCCCCCCGCCACCGTCGCCGCAGTATCACACCGTCACCAGGTTAATGGATTGATCACACCTGCCACAGAGATTAACCTCCACACACGAGTTCCTGCGTGCATATCTTAATGAACACAGAGGCACACGCATCGCCGCCCGACTCACCAGGAGAGATGATGTAGAAGAAGTTCTTGAACTCATCCATCCAGACCTCTGCCAGGCGCCGGTTGTTCTTGTTGATGATCTGCCCCGTCCCTCCGGGGAACGTGTAGGGCGTTGCCTTTCTGAACACGTGGCCCACGTGAGAGCATGTGACGATCTCCAGAGTCCCTCCACACTGCCAGATCTGTGAGGGGGGGTGGGGGGGGAGTTTGGCAAAATGCTGTAAACCACGTTAAGGCTGCAGGAATCAATTGATCTGTTGATTGTTCTCATGGTTAATTGAATTAAAAAGAAAAGAAAACAAACAAAAAAAAAAGACATGGCACATTCTACAGGTATTAACCATTTAAAATCCACAAGCCCTTTTTATACAATATTATGAATTAAAATGTGTAATTAAATACAAAATCAAATTAATTTTCTACATAAGAAAATATTTTTTTTCCCCTAAAATTTATTCTTTAGTAAATTTGAATCACATAGATAAAACATATTTACATAAAAAGGTAATATATATATATATATATATATATATATATATATATATATATATATATATATATATATATATATATTAATTACTGCTCAGAATATGTTTCTTTTTTTCACTAAATGGCATTTTTTGTTTTAGTCTGATACTCCAGTTAGCGACTGGAGTATCAGTCAACTAATTCAGTCAACTAATTACCAAATTAGTTGACTGAATCGTTTCAGCCCTGCGCTACATGTGCCGACTGTGGAAATGTTGGCGTCTGTGCTCTGACTGAGTCTGAGATCCAGTCAGGATGACACCGTGAACCGTCCAGAAGTCGTGCCAGAACACTGAAAAACGGAGTCGTGCCACTTGGCTGCGTTCGCTCACTCTGAAAGAGATTTCCAGGTTTTCTCCGCCCCAGATGTCCATGCCTGCGTCATACGTGCCGATCTCCTGAAAATAATCCCTGTCTATGGAGAACAAGCCGCCCGCCATGGTGGGAGTCCTGGAGAGAGGAATAAATTAAGGAGTGAGGCTGGTCCTTGTCACTTCATTCCCCAGCAGCCTGTTTTCTAAAGGTCACTCAGTGTCTACAGATCCCATCAGAGCTTTATATTTCAGCCCCTGTTCTTTACTGTCTTCCTGTTATTTTCCATTTCTCTTCTTTCTCCTGCTGCGGCCTCTGGTGTTGTGATGGCTGTGTCAGTGCTTAATGGCCTCAGTTCTCTTCCCCTTCACAACCCCGTAACACAATAGCTTCCTTTTTTTGTTTTTTTAAATAGAAGAGGCCTGTTTTCTCCTTTCAGTTAACATCCTAAATTCAGCTGCAAAACAAAACAAAACAAAAAAAAAAAACAGTAACAATACGTCCCACAGAAATAAACCCAAATGAAATGGCTGGAGAATAAAAAGCGGGTAAAGAAAAAGATTAAAGAAGATTTTGATGTTAAAGAAGCAACTGTGGGATTGTAAAGAGGTGACGACAGTATAATGAAGGGCTTCCTTTCAGCAGATAACACATCAAAGTTCTGCAAACTCTTCAGTGCAAAATTAAATCAGAGTTGTTGTTTTTTTTTCATGAGATTCAAACACACAACAGTAAAACAAACAACAGGCACTAAATTAAAGGGGAGCTCTGATCCTGAATAAAGCCGTTTATCCAAACAGAGTCTGTCACGTTCATAAAAGCGGCTTTTACAGCCCTCCGCTTATCAAAACACTGATGTCCACAAATGCTGGCAGCATAAAACGACCACAAAAACTCCAGACAGAGACAGAGCCTGTCGCAGTGTGAACTGAAATAGATTCTTACTCTCGTCTGGAGGAGTCACAGCAGCATGACACTAATATTTTCTGTATTAGAAAGCCTCAAAGTCATTTTTCTTTTCCATGCTGCTGTAAACAATTCTGACTTTAGTTGCTGAGATTTAGACTTTGATGACACTTGTCACACCGCAACAGCAAAAACAAAAGGCTACAGTTTTCTGTGGCTTAGCTACTGGAAAGAAGATCCGTTCAGCTTCTAACTAACACACTCTGCATTATTACTGGTTTATGAATCCCAAACTTGTTCTTGCAGAATTGCTTTACTTCTGATTTATGGCAACAGAAATGAACATATTTTTACTTCTGTGGTTGAAAGGTGGCGGGAACAGCATCCATTAATGATCAGGTTTACAAAAATTACTTAACAGTAAAAGGTCAACGGTCCAAAGCCACTGGTCAACAACTTGCTAGTTTTCCCAACAAGAAATTCTCCCCCTGATGCCGTTTTCTTTCAGCTGCATCATGAAAGCTGAGCTGATCTGAGCAGACGCAGACTGCGGTACGTTAGATGCTCTGGGTCTTTTTGTGATCTTCTGGATGAGTCGGACTCTCCTGGGAAGGTTCACCGTTCCGTGGTTTTTCTATTTGTGGATAATCGTTCCTTTAGTGGTGCGGGAGTCTGTCACAATTTAACATTTTAAGGATTTTTTTGGAAGTTGAACAAATTACAGACAGAAGAATGTGATGCTTAAAAATAGTCACCAAACCTCAGACATTCATAGTTTAAATTTAAAGTGAAGGCTGTGACTGGTAGAAAGAAATCTCCATGGAGAAATGCACAAACAGTTCTGTCTGCAAGACAG